TTTTTTAAAAACACAATGTTGAGTTTTATTGTAACACTGTTTAATCGCGCCCACGGTTATATTTTGTATATTATATATAATTATAATGTATTCTGTATAAAATAATACTACAAATAAAAACACATTTGTGACGACCTGATCCAGGCAAAATTAGTCACAGTGACCCAAATTTAAAAAAATTGAGATTTTGATATTAGTGAAAAGAGAGCACTGTAAGCTTCAAATGATACCTTGGTCATACCTTGAATGGTTGTAAAGATATACAGATTTGAATTCTGGTCGTCTGCCCTTTTTTTTTCCAATTGAAAACCTAAGAAAATCGCTTTTAAAAAATTTTTTGCCCGTTTTTTTTTTTTTTTTTTTTTTGATATCTTTCAAAATCCATAGCATTTTAAGATAAACTATTTATTTTATATAGCTTAAATTTGACCAAATAGATTAACATATATAAATGCAATTTAACGAGGCTGAAACTCAACTTATTTTTAATTTTTTTGAAATAAAATAATTAAAAAGTCACTTTTTACAAAAATGTTCTAAAATCAGAAAGATTGAAGAGGAGTCAGAGAGAAATTCAGTTTTCATACGGATTAGCCCACATAAGAGCAGAGAGCAGTCTGTCTTCTTTCATTTTTGAATGGTTGTCTTTAAAGTAGACATTTCAATATATATGTCTGTGACGATACCTTATACGCTGACTTTCGGTTCATGAGACAAGCTTCAGTTCACGTGCCGCGCGTCTCAGCGTCGTGATTAGGCCTAGCCTATTGTCTGCAATTTATTTCTTATTATTAAATCCTAGTAATTGGTTGATGAAACATTGATTTAAATTAAGATAATTATTTTAAAACGAAATTTACTTAAAAGTTTTAGTGCTGCTTCCAGAGAACGGTCACGTTCGGATTGTTTTAAATGCGAACACGGAAAATAAAATAAAGATTTTATGTTCTGGAGAGAGTCAACCCTTCTTCATCCGGTGAGTATTACTTTTGGTTTGTGCAGTGTGGTTCACATAGGCCAATTTATTAAAATATTTAATTATCTGGGAATTGGATCTCCTCCATAATGCTGAAATTGCCCAATTTTAAAAAATTTAGTAATAATTTAAGTTTTGTGGTGTAAGTCTACGTATTTTATAATGTTAACTTCAAATAATACTAATAGTAATTTAAAGATGTTGTAGCTAGCATTGGGTCTGGACGTGAAGGATAACTTCGGGAGTTGAAGGGACGTGTCGGTGTCGTGATTCTGTCTTCTCACACCGCGACACAGGTTCGTGGATCTGAGTGTCGCGATCGTTACAGCCTTACATAGGCTATATTCTTCTTGCAGATAAATATACTCACGCAGTTTAGGTTAGAAGCCTCCAGTGAGTTCAACGTTTCAGGGGATACCCGGGAAATGCTCAGAGGTGACGACTGACGAGGGGAGTTGAGAAGAGCAATGTTTATTTCAGCGAATTTAAAGCTTTGACAACTTTAATCGTTATTTAAATACCTTTACTCAATTATCTCGACTACGAAACCCTGTGAGATTATTTTTGAATGTCTGTTCTTTGAAATTAGCAAAAAAAAAATATATATATATATTTTTTTGTTATTTCATGGTTTTTCCATATAATCGGCCCATATCTTAAAATGGAAGGTTGCAACTTCCGACTCATTTCGCCAGAGCGGGTCACATTTGATTTTTATTTTTTAAACAATGTAATGTGTAACCTAAAAATAAACAGATTATTTGATAAATGGTATATTTAAATCTGCATATTGTAGCCTAATATCTGCAGGGCAGCCTAGTCTTAATAAATGTATGCTTCATTTTTCATTAGTAAATTTGATCAATAAATTCAATAATTTAGAATAATAAGACACTATAGGGCTGTTACCCTAGGTAAGGCTGATCAAATTAAATCGGTTACACAATAATGTTACGAGATTGGTTTAACAGGAGTCAATTAAAAATCGCTGTAAAGAACGATACTTTTAAACATAACCCTAAATCACCATAAGGTGTCGCCAGATGACCGTCTTAATGAACGAGTCATGGATTCAAAATGCTGAATCATTCAGTAATGAGAAAACACATTGCTTTGAGATGCGCGATGGGTCGCTGTGATCTTTGTTTAACTATTTTCTCTGCTGAAACAGAAAAAAGTCAATATTGCATCTAAAAAGTCAATATTGCATCTAAAATGTAAGTGACTTGACTTGTGTGTGTGACTATGTTTGTTGTAGTGATAAGAGTTGCACCCTTGTTAAAGTTTAAGGCCTTGTGTTTTTGGATATATATCTTTCTTTCTTTTTTTTTTCTTTTTTTACAAAATATGCATATAACCCATATATTTTAGATTTATTATTTGCTTTAAATTAAATTAAGATTGTATTTTTGGTAATTGAACCTGAATGAATTTAAAAATGAATGTGCTATATTTCAGATCATATTTGTTTTTTCTTAAAATTTGAACTAACTTTATTCTCAGCTGAATTATAAATATTTTATTTCTGTATGAATTAAAAACACATTTGATTTTTCTTTTTTAATCAATGTAGAATGTGTAACTGAAATATAAACAGATTAGGGCTCTGTTCGAGGACAAGTAACTAAAACCAATGCGACATGATGAATGTTTGTTTCCCAAACCATCTCAGAGTAACAGCTTACTTTTCTTTCTTACTATATTCTTTCTTACTATAAACTGTGCTGAAGAGCTTGCATCAGTCAAAGCAGGGTTACATTTTGTATGTCGTGCACAATAAACCTAAAGGCACCAGGGTGGCGGTGCCACCGGCTTCATATATATATGTATATACAGTATATATATATATATATATATAGCTAGCTGTGATCCGCGATGAAGGGCCAAAGCCAGTGGCATGGCCACCCTGGTGCTTTTAGGTAACTAAGGAACCGGGGTTGCGGTGCCACCGGCTTGGGCCCTTCATCGCTGCTCGCAGCTATATTTGTTGTTGATTTACATGTGAAAACTTTTTAATAAAATAGCAAAAAATATATTTACAAGGTAGAGGTAAGCAATAGGTCTTAATAGGTCAATATGAGCCTTTTCATTAAATTATCGATTATTGTTTTTTTATTAGTGACACATTTGGTCGAGGATATATTCCAAAACTTTCTGAAAATACAGTATGGGAATTAACTGCATGGTCACTAAATGTTTACCTTGGATATTATACAATTTGCATGAATACAAAATAAGTCCTCACATTCTTTCCTGTGGTACAGTGACACACCTGTATAGATACAGTCGGCAACGCGTCATAGTTGGGGGGCGTGGTCGGTGTGGGGGAAAGCAGCGCGACCATCCTATGTATTTGAATGACAAAAATGTCATATTGCGAGTCATTTATGCCTGCCGACCGGCAACGGTACATTGCAAAATTAACTGTAATAGGTTATGATTGCCCTTATTTAATTAAAAACTGGGTCAATGACCCAACCAAATGGCCGGAGGTGTCGTTTCCAGACTATTATATCTGGTTGAATCTTCAGGTAAGACATCGCGGAAGCTACCGGGAACACAAGCCTGTAACTCAATCAACTTGCGTATAAGTTACTATAAGTCCATAAAACCATGTCACTTACCAATTGTACGTATGCTTCACTCCAAACTATTAATCCTTTTGTAAAACGGTGATCAGTAGTAGTCGCTACGAAGTTGCAGAGGGACTTTGCTGACACTTATCCGAATTCTCACAGACTGCAGTCTGATAACCTTCAGCTGATAACGCTAATGTGACTGAGACATCCCTTATGAAAAACAACTAAAGGAATCTTGTAGTATTTTAGGACAAAATATTATAGTAACGTTAATCCTATAGGAATAGGCTACTATAGTATTTTGGGACATAGCCTAGAAGTATAGGTATTAATGAACATCACAGAAGTATTATACACTACTATAGAATACTATTAGCCATAGGATTACTATAGTTCTTTTTCGTAAGGGATGTAAAGTCAGACAAATCTGGCCCACTGCCTAATACGAGTTAAACATCTACTACTATATCACACGGACCTCTACTCACACAGTAATCTAATAAGATATGATTAATTTTGCCATTTTGTCCTCCTATCCGGTTCTGTATGTATGTAAGAGAGGCTGTAGAACTTCAATTTATAATTTGTTTGTTTATTGGTGGTACAGAAAACGACACCGCAACTCTTCGGCATGATTGTCCCATGTATTTCAATGAGCGCCAAGGCAATGTTTTCCCCCACGGGCTAAATTCACACCACGTGACGGGGCGTTCCCGGGGGCGTTCCCAGACCAACCGACTGTATCTATGAAAGGCTCATTATGTGGGTCATTGTTGTCTTAGGTGTGAATCAGAGCATAATTCCAGATCATTCATGCCCTTTCCCATTCATGCCAATTTTCTCCCTTTCCCACAACCCATCCACTGAACAGAGAAGAAAAAAAAATATAATAAAAAATATACACGATGTATAAAAATAAAATTAAAATAATAAACAATCAAAATGAGAAAATAATTATTTTACTGCATTTCTGATCAAATAAATGCAGCTTTGGTGAGCATAAGAGACTTGCTAACTAACTCAATTTTGTTGCCTCGATCAGCTTTTTAAAACCCTTTTAGAGCAAAGGATTTTAGTACCCTTCCTTTTTTCCCTCCAAGTTTTTTGTACTAAGTGGATGTCTTCATTTACATTTACATTTAATCATTTAGCAGACGCTTTTATCCAAAGCGACTTCCAAATGAGAACAATAGAAGCAGTTCAGCTAACACTAGGGCAACAATATGCAAGTGCTATGACTCCTCTCTGTTTCATCTAATGCAGTCCATGATTTTTTTATCATGATTATAGTTTTTTAATAGAATAGAAAAGAAAATATTAGTGTTACTGGATCAAGTGCTTCCGAAAAAGAAGCGTCTTCAGCTGTTTCTTGAAAGTGGCTATGGACTCCGCAGCTCTGGTTGAGTTCGACAGATCATTCCACCAGCAGGGAACAGTCATGGTAAAGGTCAGAGAAAGAGATTTTGTGCCTCTTTGAGATGGTACTCACTTGCAAAGCACAAGTTTCTGGATTGCACATAAGTCTGAAATAATGAGTTTAGGTAAAAGGGAGCAGTGCCAGTGGTTCTGTAGGCCAACGTCAGTGACTTGAATTTAATGCGAGCGGAAACTGCCAACCAGTGCAGGTTTGTGAGGAAAGGAGTGACGTGTGCTCTCTTCGGCTGATTAAAGACCACTCTGGCATCAGCATATAGAGGTTTGACAGAGTAAGCTGGAAGACCAGCCAGGAGAGCATTGCAATAGTCCAGTGTGGATAGAACAAGCATAGGAAAGCCCTGAGGCTGATCCTCCTAATGTTGTACAAGGCAAATCTACATGACTGGGCAGTTAGCAATGTGGTCTATGAAGTTCAATTGATCATCAATTACAAGCCCAAGATTCCTGAATGACCTTGATGGAGTTATGGATGATGAGCCTAGCTGAATGGAGAAGTTGTGATGAAGTGTTGGATTGGCCGGTTCATGGTTTATGAATCGTATACTAGTATTTCCATCAGACCAGAGCTCATTGTCAGTACATCTTCCTCCAGCAGGGGTAGCTCTGGCTCTATTAGTCTTGGTGGTGTTATTATTTCAGGGTTGATGGGAGCAACCCTGCTGATCCCCAGCAGCTGTTCAGTCGGTCTGCCTCAGCTCTGAAAGGCATCTGTTCCTCACTTTTAATCTTTAATCTCATCACACATGCAGCAAACTTCCTTCCTTCCAAAACACTCATTATGAAACCAGAGCTGTCCTGTGGTGCTCTCTGAAGTTATCCGAAATAATGAATAGTTTTTGTCAAGTTTCTCCTTTAACTAGGCAAATGGAAAATGATACAGAGTCCAGAATTAACACTCAAGCCCAAATGCAAGTAAAAATGGGCTTTGGAGAGTAAAGTTATTTGCCAACCTCATTATGGCTATATTTTATATAACTAAATGACATAAATAAAGAACATCTCGTTCTTTCTGCATAGTTGTGCTGTGGAGCGGGGAGGTGTGGGAGTTTTTGACATTTACTGACCGCCATCCTGCCATCATCTATAATATCCTCCTGTTCGGTATCACTAGCGCTCTTGGACAGGTGGGTTGACATACAAAAGAACAGCACCATCATTTATTTATTCATTCTTTCACACAAAAAATATGGTAATAGTTATCAAAAGTTTAAGTAATACTTAATCCAGGGGTTAAACATTTATTCTCCGCTTTCTTCACCTAGACATTCATCTTCATGACTGTGGTGTATTTTGGACCGCTCACATGTTCCATCATCACTACGACACGGAAGTTCTTCACCATCCTGGGATCAGTGTTGCTGTTTGGGAACGTCATCAGCCCTTTGCAGTGGTTTGGCACCATCCTCGTCTTCCTTGGTGAGTGAAACTCTTATGTCTTATATTGATTATTTACATAATACTACTGTTTAAAAGTTTGTTTTTGAAAGAAGTCTCAAATACTCACTGATTATTTGATCAAAAGTCTATCAGTTTTGATAAGTTAAATGCGTCCTTGCTAAATAAAAGTATCAATTTCTTTTTCAATCTTACGGACCCAAACTTTTGAATGGTAGTGCAAATTATATATATGAATGTATTTCAGTTTATTAAAAAAAAAAGATTTTTATATTTGTCCAGAGCTTTATCCAGAGCTGGTTGGCCATAATGAGCAGATGTATAAGAAGCTCAACCATGACTCTGCTCTGTCTTTCAGGCCTGGGACTGGATGCCAAATTTGGAAAGTCTCCTAAGAAGACGCCACACTGAAGACTGAAAACGTGTGCGCGTGTGTGTGTGCGTACATGGATGCCTGCTTTTGAACCCTTGAGACAAACATACTTATTCTTTAAACACTTTACAACACTAATTCCATCATTGGGGTACTTCAGAGATGATGTTTTTAGTGCTCAAAATATTGTTGACATTCTGAACATTTAATAATGGGATCTATTTAACCCATCATCTCTCAAAATGGAATCCATGGTAACAGAGGGACAGTGCAAATATATGTCTGTGCCTAATCATAATCTGTTAAGCTCATAAGGCGAAATCTAAAAGAGAAAGGTTGGATACAGGGAAAGATCCTATTTAATACTATAGTCTAAAAAAATGCACACGCTGATTGTACTTCCTAGAAGACTCCAGCAGGGCAACCACAGAATTTTTTAGCTACCCCAATTCGTACTTTTTGACACATTTATATATACATCAAGAAATGGGGATTCAGTTCTGCCTTAATTTAGGTGGTGAATTATGTTTAACGTATGATAATTGTCATTGCATTCCCCAGGTAGCGTGTGTGTGTGCGCGTGGGGTGTTTACTTTGTGTATGTAATGCACAAACACCTGCTGTATAGATGAATTATTTGTCAAAACATGGCTTTTTCATACCAGATGTCATATTTATATTCTTGTGTCTCATGTCTTGTTTTGAAGTCAACAAAGCAAATGTTTAGAAAGTTGACATTTTTTTTACAAAAGAATCATCTGCATTATAATGCATCCTTGTGTCAGAATAAAAATTGAATTTTATAGATTGATTCTACTCTGCAACTCTAGTAATGAATCTCTTTGTCATCATAACGGGTGTTTAAATAAAAGGGAAACTCAATCAGGTTGCAAAGAAGATGCTGTTGACCAGCTGTCATCGGGGAACGTCTGCCAAAAACGCTGCTCGTGTCTGCCATCATCGTGTTCTCGCCCTGGGGAGAGAAATACAACCAAGACATGAATGGGTTTGTGTTTTCAATCGCACCTTTTAAAGTGCACGTCTTGTTGCGGTACAAAACACATCAGTGGCGTCGAGAACGCATTGAATGGACTGGAGCTGAAGATGCAGTTAAACTGGATGAAATGTACCTGACGTGAGTCAGCCATCCACCTCTCATAATCGTGATCGCAATGGAGAACATTCGCCGTTTGCTTAGCAGGAACTCTGAGGAAAGGTTAATGTGCAATTCAAAGCACAAAATGAAATTGGAGGGAAACAAACACGGCCGGATGTCAAGAAGGCAATCTGATTAAAAGAGCCCGAAGAGGAGAACTAGTCTGGCAGCACAGCAAAACTACATTTCCACACACGCCGTTTGAACAAGCTGCCCTGAGGCTGTCCTGGCTAAAACGATGATGAAGTGCTTTTCTTCTTTTTCTCTTTCTCTCTGTTATTTTAATCTCATGCTCGTTTTTGAGATGAGCACTTTGAGGCTATGTAAATGGGAATATGTAAAGGTGGTTTTGTTAACGCATGCTGTGAATATAAAGAAGTGAAAGCAGGATGATATGGTTCTCAAAGTTGTGGTAGTTCAGAGTAAGGTTACTGTAGTAGTATTAATATGCAAAATAGGGACAAAATGTGTTAAATTGTCATGAGAAAAAATAATGTCGCAACGCAAAATAGGCTATAAGCTTTATTTAAAATTGTAATTTTATGTAACCTCATATCAATAAACTTATTTATTATTATTATTATCTTTAATCTTTGAGGTGAAATATGACACAGCACAACTCATTTATTGTCTTAAATGAGCAACTCGGGTGAAACAGATCAATTAAGTGCTCGGAGAACCAGTTTAAAAACTATTGATAATGAAACTATAACTAACGTTACAGATAATATTGTATGACAAAGAGAAAAATGTATGCATGGTTTATATTTGCCCATTTAAAATGGCATTTCTCATTCATATAAAACACAATTCGACCTACAACGACCTTCTAGTCTAAAGTCCTTAAATGTTCTTTCTGATGTGGGATCAGATATCTAAAATCAAAAGTGTTTCGTGCGAACTCGCAAACTGACCCTAGATCAGATCAGATTTAGAACCCAGTTACCGCGCCTTTGAGTATCCACAGCATCGCCTTTACAAAATACCTCAGCATATAATCATAGTATCATTTATTTGTCATTTTTATATTTATTATTTGGTTAAAATTTTAATTATTACACAGCAATACGTACTTATTAACTGAAATGAGATGGCAACGTTTGTCTAACTATAAATAACAAATCAGGCAAACTCAATAAGACCCCCGTAAACCGTGTCCTATTCTCTCAGTGCTGAAGCCATCCTGCTAGAGCTCTCGAACGAGCCTCGTTCAATTCCTTTATTTGTGTACTTTTTTTGGGAGAATATAAATCATCTCATCAATCATAATGCTGGGCACGGTCAGCCGGCAACTCAGAAGCCACCCTGCCGTAAGTAAATTATGATTTCAGGACGAGTTATTCTGTAATAGACGATGGTTAGTGCGAGTTGTGCTAACGTTGTAGCTAACTTAGCTAGCCTGTTAGCGTCCCTGCTGCGGAATGCTAAGTTAGACGTGCCACCAGTTTAGATATTTACAACGCGGAATAAACACAAATTAATCCTTAAATATGTTTTTATATTACATGGAAAATCCTTGAAATATCAGGAATTTTAAAAGTGTGGTTCCCAGGTCTGGAAAGGTAATGGGAGAAGTAATTATTAAAACAATAAAGTTCATGGAAATGTCAGTTCTAAAATAATTGGTCGGATATAAATCTCTAGTTTGTTGGTGTCTCAATCTCAATAAAATAAATAAATAAAAACGACTTTCAGTAACTATGGAAATCCGAAAGGTCAATGAGTATTTTTTGTTTGTTATTGAATTATAATACATGCACTTTCGTACAATTGCAGATATTGACCTTTTTCGATTAAGAACTTTAAGTTCAGAATAAGTTTTCAATCGGGTATAAAATATACATTAAATAAATATATTGTAAAGCTCACAAAATGTTCCGGTTGAGTTGCAACAACTAGCTACACAAACGTGTCAAACAGTCACGACCGTCACAAGTAAACAACACACTTTCCCATTTTAATGGACCAGTCGCATGTTTATGCAAGTCTTTATGTGAATAATTAGCTGAACCTTAATCTAGCTTGAAATTAAATGCCATTGAAGCGAGTTTAGTTGAATGCGTCACAGGAGGCATGCGTGTGTCACATGACCGCTTTGGCTATCTGGAGCTCAAGGACGAGCGTGTTAAACTAAGGACAGACTGACAAGTGTGGCCACAATCCCCTTTAAACTATTAGAGCCATTTACTTCGTATTGTCTGTATTATGTTTGTATGTTGTTTTTTTTGTTTTTTTGTCGAACATATTTTTTAATTGAATGACTTGTATTTTTAAATCTTGGCTGTGGATCTCCTAACCACTTACAGTTTCTGATGACTGAAGGCATTTGCTTATAAAGTTTTGAAGCTGAGAAACTCTAATGTTTTTTTTGTTTGTTATTTAAGGCTTTTGTGTTGCCATGAAGCAAACATTTGTGAACAATTTTATGTAACGTAATGTCAGTCAATACTATAGCCTAATCTAGATCTGTGGTTCTCACATGGAGAGGTCTATAATATGGCTTTGTACATTTTATTTTTGTACAATAAGAGAATTCTAGAGCTGCTAACTGATAGCCTGTACAATGTAAAATGACATCCTGAAATCATTCATAATTTCAAATTTGAATGCATCACCTTCAAGTCATTTGACTTCTAGTCACAGTTGCTTTATATATATTTTTTGTTCATTTTTTACCATAGTTGATCCCACTGTTCGTTTTCATTGGCGGTGGATGCGCCATGTCTCTGTCGTATCTGGCTCGCCTGGCCTTGCGTAACCCAGATGTCTGGTAAGCACTGTTCTACAGAAGATACAAGTCCATTAATCACCTGTCTCTCACTATGGATACAAAAGCATAACTGAAAGGTCTCATTCCTTTTGGTTAATTCAAGAACAATTGCTGTTGAGATCTAACACCATGTGTTAGAGCTGTTTCTTGTTGTGTTTGCAACACAACAAAAGTGAAAAAATAGAACCCATTATAATCAGTGATTCTGTCTACACTCAATGCGTCAACAGATTCTCGACAAACTGATGCCCCAATCTATTTCTGACGTACTTCAAGCATGCTACTTCGGAAACAAAAAACAAATAGATTTGCAACGTTTGCTTTGTCGTGTCCAGTGTAGACAGCCATAAGCTGATGCTGCGCAATGCAACAGTAACTTGTGATTTTTCATACCTTGACCCAATCAGTTGTGCGAGAACAACAGTGCTGATCAGATGTTTCATGTCAACTCTTCTGTTTAGTTTTTATCATGCATGCCTTGTTTATTTGTGCACTCATTTGCTTCATATCCATAGCTGGGACAAAACGAACAACCCAGAGCCCTGGAATAAAATGGAGCCCACCGATCAGTACAAGGTATGATATATGCAGCACCCTGTGTGTTTAAAGGAAAGCTCTGTCAACAGCATATGTGGAATTCTCTTGAATACCACAGAAAATAAGAAAATGATTTCGGTCCTTCAGTTTGAAACCGTTGCATTCACAGTAAAGCATTTGTAATGGAAGTCTATGAAATGAGCCACTGCAGGGCTCAACTTATAAACATTTTTTTTTAAGTGACCGTAATGTGTCACACAGTCATGAGAAAACTGAGCTTATCAATAAAGACAATTCAGAACATAGTGTGAGCCATGACTGTTTTTGTGAAAATCCATTCAATATGACTATGCAATAATAATTACATTAGGATAAACAGGAGAAACTCAACCATTTGAACATGATACTAGCATCACGATAACTTGTTAGAAGGCTGAACCTGCCAAGTATGTTTTGGATCTTTACAGCTCAAACAGCACATTTTTGTACTGAAGAATTATTATAATGGCTTTAGAGCTTCTGGAATAGACTTGCATTGTAACCTCATTACCTTGAGCGTGATTTTGGCTTGTTTTAATGATTTGAGGGGACAAGTCTAAGTTGTAATTTGTGGTAATTGTTAAAATTCCTTGTTTGGATTCAGAACATTCTCTTTAATGTGATGATAAAGCA